TAATAAAAAAGAGAAGCTTATTGCGAGAACCCTCCAAATCTTTATTCAAGTTTACTACCTTTAATAGTTTATCTATTTTTTTATGGCCTCTCTCAACGAATTGTTATAAATTGTGTTTTGTTGCCGGCTTGCCTGATTCCTTTTTTTTTTTTTGAGAGAATCTCTTGCTCTGTCACCTCAGCTTCCCAAAGTAGCTTGGGATTACAAGGCACTGCACCCCACCACTCCCAGCTAATTTTTGTATTTTTAGTAGAGACACGGTTTCACCACGTTGGCCAGGCTGGTCTCAAACTCCTGACCTCAGGTGATCCACCCGCCTCAGCCTCTCAGAGTGCTGGGATTATAGGCATGAGACACCGCGCCCAGCCAACCTGATTCTTATTGTCATAACTTCATAACTTGAGCAAAGTTCTTGCATTTTTTTTTCTTTTTAAGATTTTGTAACTTAAAAAGGTTAGAAAACGAGTATGTGTTTTGGGAAGTTGCCTGTCTGTTTACCAGTCTGTGAGGTGGTGTTGTGATATGTGTGTGGCATGTTCAGCCTCTTGAGACAGTGTCTACAACTTGTGATCTGTGACATTATTGCTCCAGAACTTTTGAGTCATAATGTTTTCTTGGTGATTTTGAGTGGTGGTTGGCCAGTACAAGAAGTACCCAAAAAGAGTTAAATAATTCAGTTATTTTTATTAGGTACAAAACTTTTAAAGACAAGAAGGAAAACATAATAAGCAGGCCTGGAATTACAGCTTAACATACCCACTGGTGCCTTTTTAATTACAGTAGTTTCCCCAGAACTTTTTAATCGTATTACTTTTATATCTAATAGGGAGACTAGTTAAAACATAAGCCACACATAACTATTACAAATAATAGGGATAAATGGTGGGTATGACCAGATGTTTTCCCTAAAGTTCAAAGAGTTAGGGAATCTGAACTCTGTCAAATTTCCCCTGCAGGGCTCACATCCCCTCCTCAATAAGCTGGAGAAAAGGCAAAGAAGTCAGGGTGAAGGAGGGGGAGAGATAACGTGCTTAAGGTAGGCCTGTCTTTTGTACTGACCACCCTGACAATCTGTGGCTCAGGGGCAGGTGCCATTTGAATGACAGCTGGTAGACAAGGTTGGGTACAAAATGCTTTAGTCGTGAGAATCTTTATGTGTTGCCCAGAGCTATGAATTAGGACTGGGCTCATTTGCCACCCATTTCACAGTGGAGTTTCAGAGACAGTGCCAAGACCATGGTTTTGTTTTCCTCTTAACCAACAATTTAATTTCAGTCAAACTGATGCTGTTCTGAAAATGTAGAATAAGGATCGAACATTTGTATTTT